CCATGGTTTATCTGAGACTCTACTGATGTGTCACTGTTAACATCTTGTTCCCTTGTTGGTGCACTCTAAACAATGCTGGGTTGTTTCAACCCAAATTTTCACATCCACAGTATAAGATACTGGACCACTTTGAGCCGTCACCGCATCTGATGCCCCTCTTCCTCTGTAATCACAGCATCATCGACTCCAAACTGTCTGGGCTTCGAACGGCCAGCTCTGCGGAGGATCTGGGAAATCTATGAGAGGCGCATGGCAGCTGTCACACTGGGTTTCAAGGCATCCAAACGTGTGCGCAGTTGTCGTCCCAAAAACAACAAGGAAGGGGACTCTCTTGTCGTCGGATGTGGTGTGTTGCGGTACGTCAGCAAGAATGTTTCCAGCCGTCTCTGAAGAGTAGAAAACGTCTTCAGTGCTTGTTTAAGCGACTGAATATACTTTTCAGCCTGCCCATTGGTTGCTGGATGATATGGGGCGGATATGGGATATGTTTTAACACAAGCGTGCCGCACAAGCCCAGAAAAGTGAAGCCAAAGCGTCTCGATCGCCCCCCGGTGACTGGTCCTAGTATAGGCCATAAACCCGCCTCCCTGTGTTATTCAATGGGACGTGAGACCAACTAAACAAATAAATTACACTTCTAATATGTTTTCCGAAAGTAGTTTCTGTCATTTGCTGTCGTTTTTATCACGCGGATGTAAGTTCAAGTGTCTGTTTTTAAAATAAGTTTATTTTTAGTTAGTTACGTGATGCTATAAAAACGGTGGCGTGACGTCATGATTGACAGGTTCTCTGAGCGAAGTAGTCACTGAAGCACCAACGGACTTCAGGATCTTAGGAGGACTGAGGAGATTGTATTTACTTTATTTTAACAAGCCTGCAATCAACAGACATCAAAACTGGAGCAGAACAGAGATACGGAGCAGACATAGGCCACTTAAAAAAAAAGTTCAAAGTGCATGCGGCGAGAGTGAGGGCGGGACGTTGATTTCGCGGCTTTACTTTTTGTTCACTACTGCGCAGGTCTGGTCCCGAAATCACAACTGCGCAGACTCAGGTCCAGAGATCACTACTGCGCAGGTCTGGTCCTGAAATCACAACTGAGCAGACTCAGGTCCAGAGATCACTACTGCGCAGGTCTGGTCCCGAAATCACAACTGAGCAGACTCAGGTCCAGAGATCACTACTGCGCAGGTCTGGTCCCGAAATCACAACTGAGCAGACTCAGGTCCAGAGATCACTACTGCGCAGGTCTGGTCCCGAAATCACAACTGAGCAGACTCAGGTCCAGAGATCACTACTGCGCAGGTCTGGTCCCGAAATCACAACTGAGCAGACTCAGGTCCAGAGATCACTACTGCGCAGGTCTGGTCCCGAAATCACAACTGAGCAGACTCAGGTCCAGAGATCACTACTGCGCAGGTCTGGTCCCGAAATCACAACTGCGCAGACTCAGGTCCAGAGATTACTACTGCGCAGGTCTAGTCCCGAGATCAGAACTGAGCAGACTCAGGTCCAGAGATCACTACTGCGCAGGTCTGGTCCCGAAATCACAACTGCGCAGACTCAGGTCCAGAGATTACTACTGCGCAGGTCTGGTCCTGAAATCACAACTGCGCAGACTCAGGTCCAGAGATCACTACTGCGCAGGTCTGGTCCTGAAATCACAACTGAGCAGACTCAGGTCCAGAGATCACTACTGCACAGGTCTGGTCCCGAAATCACAACTGCGCAGACTCAGGTCCAGAGATTACTACTGCGCAGGTCTGGTCCTGAAATCACAACTGCGCAGACTCAGGTCCAGAGATCACTACTGCGCAGGTCTGGTCCCGAAATCACAACTGAGCAGACTCAGGTCCAGAGATCACTACTGCGCAGGTCTGGTCCCGAGATCACAACTGAGCAGACTCAGGTCCAGAGATCACTACTGCGCAGGTCTGGTCCCGAGATCACAACTGAGCAGACTCAGGTCCAGAGATCACTACTGCGCAAGTCTGGTCCCAAGATCGCAACTGCGCAGACTCAAGTCCCAAGATGTCAGCGCCATATCGGGACACTGGCGGCTTCACTTCTCATCAATGGAAGAGAGCGATCTTTTTTTACAGTCCATGGTTTCAAATGGTTGGCCTTCAGGAAAGTTACAAACTCCTGAGAGACAAATTTTGCAAGTTCCTCAGCATATGCTTTATAAAACTGGCCGTAAAGCCATCTAATCCTGGTGCTTTACTTGAAGGGAAGTGTTTAATAACGTCCCTTATCTCCTCAATAGTAACAGTTGATTCAAGACGTTCAAGCTGGTCCCCTGACAACACCGGCAGATCAAGAGTTGACAGAAAAGATGTAATGTGTTCCTGGTCCCCCTTCGACTCTGAAGTATACAGTTTAATGTACCTGGCAAGTAGTCTACCAGCCTTGTCACCCCCTTCAAAGTATTTCTGCCTTGCCCGAAAGAGAGACAATTATGCCTTCTGGGTCATAATTTAATTAAAATCATATTTTAGTCTAGTCAACCTGGTAAGATTTTCAGAGTACATATTTTTTTTTAAAGTTTGATTCTGCAGTTATGATCTGTTTTTCAAGCTCCTGGAGCTTAGTATTGTTTTCCCTCTTCCCGAAGGACGAGTGTTGAATTATGTGGCCTCTCAAAAAGGCTTTCAAAGCCTCCCATGCTACCCCTGCTGATGGAGCCGTTGGGAGATTGGTCTCTATATAGAGGTTGATTTGTGATTAAGTGATTCCTTGGAGGTCTCATCTAATAGAAGGCTAGAGTTTAATCTCCATCTAGCTGGCTTATTAAAGGACAGAATATGGATAAATATTGGACTATGGTCTGAAATAATTATATTACCAATGTCACTCGCTTCCATAGCTGATACCAGCGAGCTATGTGGTAAAGAATGTAAAATCTCTCGAATATGGGTTTTGTAGCCGCCAAATGTCTACTAGACAAGATGCTTTGGACATATCTTTGAGCACTGCGTGTGCCCTAGTGGTGCGGGCCGATGGAGAGCTATGGTCTTATATAGGGTCCATTGCCTCATTAAAATCACCCCCCATGATAATTGGATAGTCTCCCAAATCATTTAGTTTCTTCTCAAGTAGCCCAAAAAATGTCTCTATTTGGAGTGTACATATTCGCTAGTATGATACTATTTCCCTGGATCTCACAAAGCATCAACAGCATTCTCCCTTCCTCATCTGCACTCTCTTTTAAGCATTTAAATTGTAGCTGCTTGTTAACTAGAGTAGCTACTTCCCAAAGCTATAACCTTTGAAGCAAACCTTCAAAGGTTATAGCTTTGAAGGTTTTCTAATAATTCAATATGTAGCAACTGTTTAACGATGAGAATTTTGCAAAGTTTAATAAGTTTCCAAATTAAATCCAAATATGTCAAACATGGCCAAAAGTTGCTTGGCCCTGCAAATCACTGCTTGCAGTTATATTTTTAATTATTGAATCTGTAGAAACCTTTTACTCACAAAATCACACATTGTCAGTGAAATGGTCATTTTATTTGTTGTTATTGTACATACATCTGTATATGTAATAACAGGCTTTATGTAACTAAAAACATTAATAAAAAAATTTTAAAAACCTGATCAAATTCAGGGAATTGTTTAATTTATTAAAAAATGATTGATTGTTGCTGTTTTTCTGCATTTGTTTCCAGTCTCTTATCATTTTAGTATTTCTTTGAGTAAGCGTTCAATCAAAATCATTTTCAATCATTTTCTTGTACTTCAACATATAAAACACAAATCTTGTGGCATTTCACAGCAACACTAGTTTATTAGTTAACTAACTACATATTTACTTTATGTGAATCTAACAAAACATTTGCTCACTGTGACACAGAACAATGCTTTCTAATATGAGTCACTAGATAGCTTGATTGGGGCGAAACTCTTCTCACACTGAGTACAGTCGTACGGCTTTTCTCCAGTATGAACTCGCTTGTGTGATTTCAGGTTCCCAGAATGAGTGAAACTCTTCTCACAATATGAGCACTTGTAAGGTTTTTCTCCAGTATGAATTATTTGGTGCAGTTTCAGATCACCAGGGGCCTCATGTACAAAGACTTGCGTTGAATTCATACTAAAACATTGCGTACGGACAAAGCTGTAAATGTGCGTACGCACAAAAAAAAACAGATGAATGAATCTCTGCGTACGAAGGATCCCACGCATATTCTCTTTGTACATCCCAATTAAAGTAAAATTGAGCGCACATGCACGAGCACAACGCCCCACCCAGTCTCCTCCCCCAATTAAATTAATTTAAATATGGTAATTAGTCCAATTTGGCAAAAGAAACCGGCAAGAACATGGCTAAAGAAACGAAATTTCACTAAAAATGTCTTCTATGTGGATATATAGTAAAGTGCAATTTATTCCTGTGATCAAAGCTGAATTTTCAGCATCATTTCTCCAGTCTTCAGTGTCACATGATCCTTCAGAAATCACTCTAATATGATGATTTGATGATCAAGAAACATTTTTGAGTATTATCAGTGTTGAAAACAGATGTGCTTCTGCTTCATATTTTCGTGGAAACCGTGATTTTCAGGATTCTTTAATGAATAAAAACTTAAATCAAACAGATATAGAAATCTTATCTTTTGTAACGTTATAAATGCATTTACTCTCACTTTTCAATTCAATGTGTCCTTGCTGATTAAAAATATTACTTTCTTTTTTATCTTTACTGACCGAATTAATGAAGTTTATTTTTTATTCCTAGTTAAGCCAACACTGCCATTGCTAGACGGGTGGTGCAATAGAACAATTCGTAGTGTAATGTTTGCGACTTCACTTTATTGCCTCTATGAGTCGCCAACGGACAAAAATCACGACAAATATACGTACGCCAGACATGAAGTTTACTTGGAGGAACGCACATTCTTACATTAATTTCACTGTTAGTACATCTGGTCGTGAACGTGAAAGCTGGCGTACGCCGTGTTTTTGTGCGTACGCAGTGTTGATACATGAGGCCCCAGATGCAGTAAAGCTCTTCCCACAGTCACAACACACATGATCTCTCACTTAATTGTGTGTTTTCTGGTGCTGTTTAAAACTGCCCAGCCATGAAAAACTCTTTCCACAGAGAGAACACACATAAGGCTTCTCATCTGAATTAAGTTTCGGGTGTTGGTTTAGATTTGATGATGAACTAATCTTTACCACACTGATCACAGTTAAATGTTTTTTTCTCCAGAGTGAATGCGAAGATGATAACTGAGACCTGATTCATGAGTAAAACTCTTTCCACACTGAGTGCATGTATACGGTTTATCTCCAGTGTGAATTCTCATGTGTGTGTTAAGGTGTCCTTTGTGTGTGAAACTCTTCCAACACTGAGTACATTTGTACGCCTTTTCATGAACTCGCTCGTGTGATTTCAGATGTCCAGAATGAGTGAAACTCTTGTCACAAAATGAGCACTTGTAAGGTTTTTCTCCAGTATGAGTTTTTTGATGAAGTTTCAGATGACTAGATGTAGTAAAACTCTTCCCACAGTCACAACACACATGATCTCTCACTCCATCATGTGTTTTCTGGTGCTGTTTGAAACTGTTCAGTCTTGAAAAACTCTTTCCACAGAGAGAACACACATAAGGCCTCTCATCTGAATGAACTTTCAGGTGTTGTTTTAGTTGTGATGATGAAATAAAATCTTTACCACACTGATCACAGTTAAATGGTTTTTCTCCAGAGTGAATGAGCAGATGAACACTGAGAGCTGATGCTTGACAAAAACTCTTTCCACACTGAGTGCATGTATACGGTTTCTCTCCAGTGTGAATTCTCATGTGTATGTCAAGGTGTCCTTTCTGTATGAAACTCTTTCCACACTGAGAGCATGTATACAGTTTCTCTCCAGTGTGAATTCTCATGTGTGTGTCAAGGTGTCCTTTCTGTATGAAACTCTTTCCACACTGAGTGCATGTATACGGTTTCTCTCCAGTGTGAATTCTCATGTGTGTGTTAAGGTCTCCTTTCCGTGTTAAACTCTTTCCACACTGAGTGCAGGTGTGCGTCTTTTTGACTTTTGTTCTTTGAATTGTAAAGTTACGATGTTCCTCCTCCACTTCATTCTGTTCTTGTCTTTGCTCTTTCACTCTCACCTGGTCTAGAATACACAGAAATACAGTTAGAATCAGTTCAAGTGAACCCTTATTTAATAGCAGAAAACAACAGAGATATGTTTGACAACTGCTATATACAAGGTTATGATCATTTGGATGCATTTCTCCATCATCGTCCATATGCTTAATAAATTGCATCTACCAAAGCAGTTGTGGGTGCAATTTTAATCTTACATTGATCAGTAGTAAATTTTACTAGGTGAATCTGAGCCATGTGGCTCCTGATGATCCTATAACATGAACTAAAATGTCTGTGTACGTGCTTGGGGTGATGCTCAGGAGCAGATGGGAGGAGACCTTTTGACCTTAGGGACTGGTCAGTGTTGACCAGTGCATTTCTGTATTAAGTTAAGGCCTGAGAGGGACTGAGGCGCCTGGAAGTTGCAGTCATGCCCTTAAAAGACATAACAGCCCATATCATAGTGTAAACTAAAAAGGAAAGGTCCTTGAAAATGCTGTAAGAACCCCCCTTCTGCTCATGCATCTGTGTCACTCCTCGCACAGATTGAACTTCTGTGTGTTTGGGACTGAACCTATTCTTGCAAGAATAAAATACCTCTTTTTTATTAATTTGACTCTGAATGTCTCTTACGCAGTGATGATGTTTAACAGAAGTTGCCACAACAATTTGGTGTCAGAAGAGTGGGATTCATTGGATGTGCCTTCTGGACCTGAGAGCGGACGGTGTTTGGCCACCTGGACTGAGCAGTTCCAGCTCTACCTCGTAAATTTCAAAGAGAGGGGCCGACCGCTATCAGGGCCAGGAGAAACTCCACTGGAATTGAGTGAAAACGAACCCGTGGCAAGTCAAGACATCTCTGGTAAGAGACGGCTAAAATATTTTCTTTTGGGCTAAAATATTTTTCAATTTGTGAGTAAAACCATGGTGGCTGTGTCTGTTCGTTTCTGTGGTGTAGGTCAAGAGTACTGATGCAATAGGGCTAACTGCGTGAGGTGCGTTTTACAAAACAAGCCACGGGTGCGGTTTTGTAATTCAGGGGATCCTTGCGCAGCAGTTTATTGGGGTCAATTGAGACTTACGGTCGGGACAGGGTTAATACGGTAGGGCTAACTACGTGAAGTGCGTTCTGCAGACAGGTCCAAGGGTGACGTGCATGCAGATCAAGGGATCTTCACGTAGCAGTTTACTGGGAGTTAATCGGGTCGCCAGAAGAACTGAGTGCGCCCTTTCTGGTCTTGGGTGAAGTGACTAGATCTGGTGGAGACGTCCAACAGATTATTAGACGCAGCGTCGAACGAAAAATCCACAGAGTAACAGAAACAGCCACTATGGGAAAATCTCAGGGTAAGCATGCCAAATTTGATACACCGGTTTTCTGTAAAATTAGGAAAAGTATGGGGGAAAATGTATGTTAGACATTGAAAAAAAAAAACCCTGATAAAATAGCATGATTTCCCCAGGGAGGGAGCACTGAACACAACTAGACTAAGAGTGTGCGAGAATCAGTGGAACAGGGCAGCGGGACAAAAGGTTGTTGTGGCTGGGTTCAACATGGGTGTAAAAAAATGTAAACAGATAATGGATTGTTGGCTTGAAGATAAAATGTCGAACTGCCAGGAGAAATAAAGTTTTTACTTCTTCATCCAGTAAAGGGAGGCATGACATTAGATGTCTATAGAAATTAAATTTATATAAGGATTGAAGTAGCAAGCAGCAATAAGGCTGTCTGTGTGAAATAGAGGGAACTGTAAGTGAGAGACTTGATGGAAGAGGGAAGTGGAAAAAAAAACAAGAAGGTTGGTGTGTGAGATATGTTTGTGTGGGGATTGTGCAAACAATCATGTACTGGTTAGATAATGAAGGAACTGGCATGTTTGAGAAAATAAATAAGAGGATACAGAAGGAACTGGGCATGGAAAGATTGAGAAGAAATATAGTAGAAAACTGTATGTGATGAAAATAAAATGTCTGACAGAATTTATGGAAGTCAAATTAACTGTTTAAATTATATGAAAAGTCAGTTTTAGAATAAAATAAGGCATTGTATGATTGACAGGGATTAACATGATATGAAGAATGTTTTAACCAGAATGGGGAACAAATCTATATTTTTAATGGGAAAATAAAGATTGAAATTATGTTTAGTTTTAGTTTGACAATCATTGTGTTTTGAACCTAAAGGGTCTATAATGGGGTAGTGAAAGGAATGGATTTACCATCCATCTTCGTTTATTATGAAAGGAATTGGAAATTATAGTTTTATAAAAAAAAACGAATGCATATCCTGGTATTTATGATTGTAGACAATGTCTGTATTTAATATCTGAGTAGTGACTGAGGGTTCAGCTATGCTGGGAGTACAGGAACAGTGTTTGCTTATTCAGCCCGGCTTCCGGATGTTAGATATGTACTTTCTGTAATTAGTGTTGTTGATGACAATCCCAAAGTAGTAAAATGTAAAGATAGCTATGTCCAAAGATTCTGGAAATCAATAATGTATAATGTTCTGCCAATAATAATGATGAAGATTATGATTTGGCTATTGTTATATCTGCCATTGGTGGACTGTAAAAAGAATACAGAGAACTGCTTATCAGTGGCTCTGTTGGCATTCCTGAATGGGACAGACTGCTTCAAGGGTGTGCAGTAAGTTGGAGCCGACAGAGAGTGTTTTAATTGTGGTCAGCAGGACCATTTAACACGTAACTGTAAATGCCCACCGAGAAGATGTTTGAAAATGTGATAGTGACACATTTCTGGTAATAATGTGGGCTTGAAAGTAGATCAGTGTTTAAATGACGACATTAACATTTTTCGTCTGAAAAATAAGAGATAAAAAACAAGGTCAAAAGATTGGAGTCTTAAAGTGAATCATTTTGGAGAAAAGATCTATAATAGTAATTTTTATAAGTGAATTGAATACAGTTTGATGCAAAATTAATGACTCAAACAAATGTGAGTTGAAAAATATATAAAAGTAACTAAAAGGATGATTGTGTTTTAATTAAACATTTTAAAAAGGGTTCAGGTAATATAGAGAGACAGATCTCACAGATGATTTATAATAACCGCAAAAGATGCAGAGTAGCCTTGTCAAAGTTAGTGTGAATCCTAAATGGAGATTGATAAACTCCTAGAAAAAAAACTTTGAAGTCAGAGATTAAACTATGGTAATTGAGATTGAGAAATGTGAAACGTTATTGAGAACTAGAATAATTATTTTTATGCAAGAACAAATAAGCAGAAGCAGTAGGCTACTGGATTAACAGGTGCTAAATGTAAAATGTGTAGAAAGGCACCTAATTAAACAAACAGCTTAAAAAAGGTTGACCATGAAAGAACTAGAAGCTGATGTTTTGCTTTCAAAAGATAAGTTTGTTATTGGCTGTAATGAAACAGCTCGCTTATCTGAATCTGATGTTGATGTGGCTGAAAACTGCCAGAGCGACAGAGACTCAATCTGAGTGGAAATTTGTAATGTCTAAATTCCCTAAGACATGGGCAAAGGACAACTATAAAATTATGTTTATTTGAAAACACATGTAATTTCTGGCAAAGATGCCTTAAGCTGGGATAGAGTTAAAAGATGGTAGATAAAAGTTTGATGTTAGAAGTATATGAGAGAGCAGTGTACCAGTCCTGAATGTCTCAGAGTCTCTCTCAGTCAATGTCAGCTAAAAGCTGTTATCTGAGCGTGTGTCATGAGTAATAATAAGCTATTTATAGTAAAGCACAGTGTTTCAATTGAAAATCATAGACACAGAGATGTTAAAAGAAATCATTGCCATGGAGAGGGCAATTTGTATTTTAAATGTTTTAAATGTAAAACTGAATGACTTTAAAGAAGTCTTTAAAATAATAATGCAGATCTTAAACGATAGAAGACATTTTATTTTATTTTAGGACCAGTAACTTCTTTGTCTCATTTAGTCTCCACCATTCAGGGCCGATGGCTCCAGCTACAGATGAAGTACACTGAATGTATGGTTGTGATCTAAATTAACTGAGTATAATCTAAGCAGCTAGGTTTCTGCTTTTAAGATGGTTAATGGATTTAAGTGATTAAATACTGCTGTTATTAACCTGTCTCCCTGTGTGAACACTATTAGGCAATCGGAATGGCTCTGGTGACTCTTGAACGTGCCTTTTCTAAGCTCCAGAAAACAACTGATTTTGTTGAAGACGACTGATTTGGTATTGGGAAAGAGCGGTTGCCAGTGTCACGAGGTGACTTTCCCAGTGACGGGTAAGACCTTCTTTGGCCAGACAGAGGTCAACCTAAGGCAGGGGGGTCACGCAGACACGGGGCATCTCCTGATGGAGATGTTTATGTGAGATGGGTATGAGAGTGGAGCGGATGACTGAGGCCAGCAGCATCCTTTATCGTTAGGGCGGATGAGGAGTTACGGCAGTCTGATCCAGAAACGTGAGTTCCTCTATACCACTCACCAGAAACCGTATTAATTGTATGGCTTGTTTTTCATTGTGACAAGTATCTGAAATTATAATAGGGGACAACACCCTGAAGAGAAAAATTAAAGATAAAGAGCTAATGGGAATGGGCTTTCAAGAGCCAGCTGAGACCATGGCTGAGACCGTGTGGAGACAGTAGCAAAACTTTTTATGTATTGGCTGCCTCATGGGCAAGAAAAGAAAATGTATAGAAGTGTTGATTGTGAAATAATATGTTTTAACTCCTGAAGGTCGTTAGATATGGTGGTGGCTAAAGATGAAGACAGCTTTTATAGATTTGAAAAGTCTGGATAACAAAGGTGAATGGTCGAAGTTATTGTAATGAATTTAAATTTAGTCTAAGTTACAGTCTTAGGAGGCTGTTGGAAAGATTATTTGTTTATAGTGAGAGAGACTGCTTGACTGGAGGAAGGGATGGTGCTCTGTCTGTCTTTCTGTTATCGGCCTGCTAGAGCAAGCTGAAGAAAAATAATGATAAGGAACCCAAACAACCCAGCTGACTTGTCTAAAAATCTAATGAATAATAAACAGACATGCTTTGAAATTGGTTAAGAGACCATGTAAAATTAGGTAGAAGCTACAGGAAAATGGTGAGTTTAAAATCTTATTTGAAATTTAAATCTTTTAGCAATAATATAAAGAAAAGTGAACATTGAGAATGAGCAGTAAACATATGTGTGTCTAGTATGAGTGTGTGTGATGGTGACAGCACTTTATGTCTGGTATGTATTAGTTTGGGGGTAATAATATTCCGCCTGAATAGTGAATATATTGTGTAATTAACCTCTGTAAGTGTTTTATCATTACAGATGGGTTAAGGCAAATGACAAAATTTAAAGAAGCCGATAATCTTAAGTGAATACGATGAAAAGAAGATACAGAACATAGGACGAGCTTTAAGCTGATTGGTCATCAAGCTCTGTCTGGTATTAATTACTTTTGTCATTTATGATGTTGATTTGAATTACGTTCTGGATCAGTTTAAGTATTGATGTAAATTGGAATTGTGAATTCGTAGATCGCCGTCCGGGCATTTGACGGCAACAACAAAGCGACGCATTGGCTAAGTCAATTTCAAATGATCAAGAGAGCCCTTAACATTTATGATTATTGTGAACAAAGGGGGAAAAATGATTGACTGACATTGACCAAGTCTGTACAGCACGACCTAACCTGATAGAAACAATTGATGACTTTGGAAATGTTTGTAGATGACTGACTTGAGAGACCAAACAACAGGCCTGAAAAAGCAGGATTCGCTGTGAGACTCAGGGCCATTGCCCTTAAAATAATTAGATAAGAAGATGAGATTGGGCTTTAAGTGTAGAGTGTAATATTTTGTTTCAGAGGCAGAGAAAGATGTCTGGGCAAACTTTGGCTGAAGGACGCCGTTTGGGTTGGTATTGATGGCAAATCAAATTAGTTTAAATTGATGCATGAGCTGGGTCATGCATCAAAAGGGGGATGGTAACAATTGCCAAATTTGGTTTACTAAGGGGTTAAGATTTGTTATAAGCCATTGCACAGGTGGGGCAATATTGCTGTCTGTAAGTGTGCCGCACACGCTGATAACAAAATTGCAGGACTGTTTCAACAGGAGACGCCAGGGCAGATGAAGCAGCGAAGGCCGCGGCAGCACAGCAGACAAAAGAAACTACGTGTATTTTACTATCTGAAAATAACCTCGACATTTGTTTTTCTCTACAGATCATGAAGACTTTTGATACAGGGCAGAATGTGCCCAATAAAATGATGGCTATGGATGAATTTGGCTAATTATCCTGGGCTGGGTTATTATTGTAGCAGAAAGGTGCCACACCTGCGCAGCGCATAACTTAAGATTTTCTTTTTGTAGAATGTCAGGATGGATTGCAGAAAACAGAACTGATTCTGTTCCAAATATATAAATATTGTGTTGTGGACATGACCAAAGTGGGTTGAGTGTTTTTCAGGGGAAAAGGACCCTGAGTGCTATTAAGTGAGCAAGAAATTATCCGGTGATAATGTTTCAGGTTGTTGATTCCACAGGTCACACCAAAAGGGACGAGCGGCTAGACAAGCGGTCACTAACAAAGTACTTAAGGTCTCCATTCACAGGTGACAGCAGGTAGGGGTGTAACGATATTCGAACCGAACCGAAAAACCGCGATACAGAACACACGATTCGAATCGCGATACTCTCATTGCGTACCGAACACGCCCCTCCGCGCCCCCTGCTACCCCGGCCCCGCCCCGCCCGGCTCAATGGACCTCATGTCTTGTGTACAGTACACAACGAATTCAGTTTTGTAGCTAACCACCATTAACACCAAATAACAAGCTCCGTGTTTTGTTACTTTCGATAATAAGCCAGGTGTAATCTTTCAAATTCTGTCTATTTGATCACGAAATTCAAACAATAAATGGCGTTTTGGCGCTCTTTGATGTGGCGTGACAGATCGCTGTATGCCTACTAAGCTCCTCATTTCAAACGGCAGTGCGGCGCGCGGGTTAACGCGATCATCTCTTCCTCAGTTACAGAATGGACACCTGAAGGTATGTTGAAAGATGCAGTATACTTACTGAAAGGCATATCATAACTCGTGTAATCGCTCAATCAGTGTTTCAGCAGCGGAAAGACGTCAATAAAACAGCATAGCTTGTCACTAGGATTATATTTACCTCAACAGGCAAGTGATTCAGTGTCCACAACTTCCTATAAATGGTTCCTATAAATGAACTCTTGCACTAAATAAATGCACCATGTTAGCCTATATATTATATTTTACTTAACCTGTTAATGATATCTTGATTATTTAATGTATGTTTAAAATATCTTTCATGAAAATGAAAACTGTGTAAAGTATTATATTTCAATAACAAATTAGAGTAAAAACACAAGTTAATGCAAAAACTGCCTTATGTTCAGTTTACATGTTTTCATACAATGTGTTGTGTGTTGATTATTATATCTAAAAAATAAATAGCTTCTGAATTTAGGTTAAAAGTCTAGGCTACAACCTTTAATGTTATAGTAATGTGCGGCTCCCTATATAGTTTACAGATTTAGCAGATTTTTTTTTAATCCTTGTGAAACGTTTAATTGTAATTGAATTAATTTAAAGACAAAGACAATTTTTTCATTAAACCACTGTTTAAAAAAAAAAAGCAAAAAAAATGCAATTTTAGCTTTCTAAACCGAACCGAATCGAACCAAACCGAACCGTCAATTTTGTGTATCGTTACACCCCTAACAGCAGGCAAGAAATGGTTCATTCCAGTGGGGGTGCGGTCGTGATTTAAGGGAAAACCTTGTAAGGATCAGAAAATGGTTGGAGAGTTTGACACCTGGGTCCAAGCCTCTCACCTTAGACAACACCAACAGGCCTCAACCATCCAATAGAGCATAAAGTGAGGTTTAAAGAAGACTGTGCTAGTAACTGTCTGCCTCGCCTACGAGGGAAAGACCATTGCAACGGCACGCAAAGTGTCACCCTGGCGAACACGGAACGTCCGTGGGGTGAACGAGATGATCAACACACCTGGAGGAACCAACTGCCAACTGATGGTTTAAGTTTAACAGAAGAATCTGTTTTTGTGATGATTTTTGATGATTTTTGATGATTGAATCAAACTTGGTATGGATTTGATTGTAAATGTAAAAAATCTATTGATTGATGTGTCCGTATTAGAGATATTAGAGTTAATTTTGAACAACTAATTTGGTTAGAGGAATGGATAAAATTATAAGACTTCTCTGGTTAGATTCGTTAAACAGCGTTCAACAGAGCTTACTAAATTGAATTAGGTGATATATGGAGATGGGCATGGATTAATGGGAAAGCTTAATGGTAGGAGTTAGGATTGTGTGTGTTATTCTGATAATTTTGTTATTCATGGGTGAATATGATTACAGAGACAGGTGAAACCTGCTGTCTGTTCAATTGGTGAAAATGACAGTCTATCCAAAGGATGAACAAAATTATGCGACGATACAGGTAGCGGAAGCTACAGTGAGATGTGTTAAATGTATGTTCTGTTTGTTTTTCTTCTATTTGTTTATTTTCTGAGAAAGATTAAGGGCATACGATTTAAAGAAGGTTACAAACAGCGGTCATCCGTGTTACGAGGTGGCGTACAAGGACAGGGTTTGAAATGAGGGATTTTATTCTACTTTTATTAATTATGTTTGGATTGATGATTTTGTATTCCTATTAATCTGTAAGCTTTTTCTTGTTATTCTGAGGTGACTGAGGGTCTGATCTAGGTCAGGAGTGCAATAACAGTGCTTATTCATTCAGCCCGGCTTCGAATAAAATCTTTACTTGCTTGCTCATTCCAGTGCTCATTCCTTGCTTGCCCGACTCAACACGGGCGATATGGACTCTCTATGGTGGACGGCACTGATCCTCAACTACTCGTCTTAAGACCGGCGTGATTACTTGGACTTCCAAAAAATACTCTAAATGTTCTGTCAAAGCGCTATATAAATAAAGGTGACTTGACTTGACTTGACTTGATACTTAAGGGACTATCCCCACAAAACAGCCTAAGCTTTTTCCTTTTCCAAATAATATTTCACAAATGTTTAAGAAGAGTGATCATTTATGCGAAAATCAGAGATGAAGAGTATAAGTGTGATATAAGACTTAAAATTCGTTCTTTTTTGTTTATTATTGTGATTATGAGTAATCTGAATGATAAAAAGAGGGGAATTGTGGGTGCAACTTTAATCTTACATTGATCAGTAGTAAATTGTACTAGGTGAATCTGAGCCATGTGGCTCCTGATGATCCTATAACATGAACTAAAATGTCTGTGTACGTGCTTGGGGTGATGCTCAGGAGCAGATGGGAGGAGACCTTTTGACCTTAGGGACTGGTCAGTGTTGACCAGTGCATTTCTGTATTAAGTTAAGGCCTGAGAGGGACTGAGGCACCTGGAAGTTGCAGTCATGCCCTTAAAAGACATAACAGCCCATATCATAGTGTAAACTTAGAAGGAAAGGTCCTTGAAAATGCTATAAGAACCCCCCTTCTGCTCATGCATCTGTGTCACTCCTCGCACAGATTGAACTTCTGTGTGTTTGGGACTGAACCTATTCTTGCAAGAATAAAATACCTCTTTTTATTAATTAGACTCTGAATGTCTCTTACGCAGTGATGATGTTTAACAGAAGTTTTGCCACAACACAGTCAACAATGAAGAATCAAGAAAGGACACCAACCTATTTGTTCCTCTGTAGCTTCATGTTTTATTCTGGATGGTTCTGGATCACTCATGTCTTCAATCTCCTCTTTTATAAACTCCATCTTTAACAGTCACACAGATTTCAGCTGCTACTCCTGGAGTTTGTCCTTCTCTTGTAGGATGATGGGAATATTCCCAGTATTTATTGGTGAATTGTTGTGGGAGGGGCTTCACTGCAGGTGTGAACTGTGATCACTGTGTTTTTATCCAATCTGCATTTAAAAAGTACAGGGCCATCATGTTTAACTGAGCAGCTGAAAAATCTCTTTGTCTCCAAAAGTTCCCTGTTTTCAGCTCATTCATTATGGTGATGTCTGAGATCTTCAGTAAATTGGCACATTAAATTGTTTTATTGGTGTCAACAGGCTGAAACAGACTACAGCATCATCACCTTTAACTTCAGTTCTTGTCTTTGCTCTTTCACTTCCATCGGGTCTGAATCATTAAAGATATGTTATTAGAATGAGTTCTGGAGGATAAATGTGAATTTTCAAGTGAACCCTGATTTCATAACAGAAAACAAGTGAGATCTGTTTATCAAATAACATATTTTATGTTGTACCAAAGGTTAGTTTTGTCATCTTGTTTAGTCAAAATATCACAGCTCTTATGATTGGTATCTAACTATATAAATTATATATATATAAATTATATATATATATATATATATATATATATATATATATATATATATATATATATATATATATATATATTAGGGGTGTAACGGTTCACAAAGTTCACGGTTCGGTTCTAACTATACACTTGTGTCTAGGGGTGTCACGATTCTCCAAATCCTCGATTCGATTAAATTTTCGATTCTAAGGTCACGGTTCGATTCGATTCTCGATTTTTACATTTATTTTTTTAAAGCCGAAACCGGCCAATCAGGATGCTCTCTGTCTTACATGCGCTTCATGAGGCACATACGCAAGATCTCTCACTCTCTCCCGTGCGCGCGCTATACGGTTTGGAGCACAGTTTTTTCTGTCTCGCATGCGCGATTGCGCCCTCTTGCTCGCTCGCTCACTCTAGATTCCGGGAGATTTTAACAAATTTGCGGGCATCAGGGAGCCGCTATCAATATGCGGGAGACTCCAGGAACTCCCGCGAGACTTGGGATGTCTGCAAAGTAAACTGTGGCTTTTTTGAAGCGCGAACGTTGTCAACATAACTCACTGGAAATCCAAAAAACGTACACACCTGCGACTTCCATGAAAGAGAAGGGGGTTCAAGTTCTGTCAATGGGTCTCTTGCATCTGCAGTTGCCATGCTATCTTTTGAATGGCTGTAGCTAAGTTAGAGGAGGTTGACCATAGACTCGCAGCTTTTCAACACGCGTGTTTTTTTCCCGCTTGGCACGCCGACCGGACGTGACATGGGGGCGTGGCAGCATCGACGATTCCATTTTTTGATTCGATCGATTGGAAAAAAAAAAAAAATCGATCGATTTCGATCTTAAAACCCTTAGTGTCACGGTTCGGTACGTTTTCGATACAGCAAAAAAGAAAGAAATGCCAGAGAAATTTCCTTGAATTCATTCTTTTAAATTAAATTTTTATTAAAACTAACATCATAAGGTATGATATTTTTTTACTTTGAGCAATGATGGAGCTATACTTGACTCTTCTTAGGAGCGTATAAAACAAAACAGCTCTTTGGACAAAATGAAATGTAATATTGTAGTAGTTATAAACAAAAGTTTATTTTAGTTCAGATTAACATTTGAGGGCAGCAATTGTATTCATAATGTCGAAATAAAACCGACGTAATGTTACTTGAAAGCATTATAGCCTACTATTCCTGCCAAACTCCCATGGTTACAGTTAGTCGTGTTAATAACGTAATATTGACGGAACACAAAAGACGGAACTCTGAAGCTCCGTCTGTGGCATGCACAATCATGCGATGGCTGAACGCGAAATCCAAACACCCTCCGTGTTAAAAGCTGACGTGGTTAGTAGTGGTTAGTAGTGTTACTACAGTAAATCCATGGTGAATGTTGCTGATCTGTGGACACTGAATAGTTCATTCATGGCACAATGTTTCTTCCTGGTTTCCACATCAGCGCTGTTTGATCCGTTAATAACGGAGAAATGTGAATGTTTCTCACTGGATCTCGCAGCGATGTTATTATTTCAGTGGTAAATTATTATTTTTTCTTTACTGGATTTCGCTGTGTAGCTTGATCAAGATCGGCTCGCGCTGCATTGGTCCAAACTGATAAACGGTCCGTCAACCACACAATAACGAGTAGCTCAGTTTCGTTCCGCTTTCATTACATTTGCCATTTGATGTTGGGCAATGTTGTGGTCACACCATCGTCTCTTACATTATGAGCGCGCGACACGCCTACATTTGAAGATTAGTTACTCGGAGATTAGTTTTCACTGGAGAAAACCGCCCAACATTGCAAAGTTTTCGGCGCCGGAGCAGCTTAACTTCGCTAAACCGGAGGATTGGCCCGATTGGAAACAACGCTTCTCCAGGTACCGAATAGCAACACCTGTCCAACTGCTCGTTAACACTTAATTTCTAAGCAGCCAATCACATGGCGGCAACTCAGTGCATTTAGGCATGTAGACATGGTCAAGACAATCTCCTGCAGTTCAAACCGAGCATCAGTATGGGGAAGAAAGTTGATTTGAGTGACTTTGAACGTGGCATGATTGTTGGTGCCAGAAGGGCTGGTCTGAGTATTTCAGAAACTGCTAATCTACTGGGATTTTCACGCACAACCATCTCTAGGGTTTACAGAGAATGGTCCGAAAAAGAAAAAACATCCAGTGAGCGGCAGTTCTGTGGGCGGAAATGCCTTGTTGATGCCAGAGGTCAGAGGAGAATGGCCAGACTGGTTCGAGCTGATAGAAGGGCAACAGTGACTGAAATAACCACTCGTTACAACCGAGGTATGCAGCAAAGCATTTGTGAAGCCACAACACGCACAACCTTGAGGCGGATGGGCTACAACAGCAGAAGACCCCACCGGGTACCACTCATCTCCACTACAAATAGGAAAAAGAGGCTACAATTTGCAAGAGCTCACCAAAATTGAACAGTTGAAGACTGGAAAAATGTTGCCTGGTCTGATGAGTCTCGATTTCTGTTGAGATGCCTTGTTACCACTGTGCAGGCTGGTGGTGGTGGTGTAATGGTGTGGGGGATGTTTTCCTGGTACACTTTAGGCCCCTTAGTGCCAATTGGGCATCGTTTAAATGCCACGGCCTACCTGAGCATTGTTTCTGACCATGTCCATCCCTTTATGGCCACCATGTTCCCATCCTCTGATGGCTACTTCCACCATGTCACAAAGCTCTAATCATTTCAAATTGGTTTCTTGAACATGACAATGAGTTCACTGTACTAAAATGGCCTCCACAGTCACCAGATCTCAACCCAATAGAGCATCTTTGGGATGTGGTGGAACGGGAGATTCGCATCATGGATGTGCAGCCGACAAATCTGCGGCAACTGTGTGATGCCATCATGTCAATATGGACCAAACTCCCTGAGGAATGCTTCCAGCACCTTGTTGAATCTATGCCAAGAAGAATTGAGGCAAATTGAGCAAATTTCCTCAGCAACACAAATGAACCAGTTTATTGACAGAGGACAGACAATTAACACACACACCTTCAGATTCACTGTCTTTCTGCTGAAGGATTCATTAGAAAAGACACATTAATTACCATCCTCCCAAACAATAACTGCAATTCTTCTAATACACAGGTCACAGATATGGCTAAAAACATACATTTATATCAAAATGAAAACTAAACACACTTAAATGACATTTCCACAGACTCAATCCACCAAAATGATATGTGGATATTATTTAAAAAACGTGCGTTAACCCTCTGGGGTCTGAGGTGTTTTCGGGCCCTGGAGGTGTTCTAACATGCTCTGACATTTGTGCTTATTTCTGTTACTTGTGACATTTTCATGGCTAAAATCTTGAACAGAGACTTGAACAGTCACACACCTTTGTGCCATTCCTGAAACATAGTACATACCTGTCATTTCCAAGGTGTTTGATTTTTCATTTGACCATGTTCATGTACATAACTCATGTGAATGTTGAAGTCAGAAGGACTCCTCAGTGGCATCTGGTCCCTGTAAATAAAAAATATAAAAATAAACAGCTGTGAACATGCTGATATCAAGAGAAACTATAGGGCTGCACGATTTTGGGAATACATTCTAATTTTTTTGGGTTATTTTTTAAATTAAAAAAATACATCATTATCCACATAAAATCACCAACAATTACTTTATCTGCAGCCAGTAACTCTGATATAAAATCAGTAAATTCTTTGATGAAGTCTGAACAGTGCCCTGGTTGCCTCTATACAGTAGCCAGCACAAATCTCAAACTGGATTTATCATTTAGACTAGTGTAAGACTTGATTTTCCAAATGGAAAGAAACAAAATGACAAAACATTTAAATTATCAGAGAATCATGATATCATACACTGAGGTTCAGAATTTGGGCACCAAAACTGGGTAGATATTCACCCCACTTTCATACTCAAATCACATTAAAACAGAGCAAAACAAAAGAGATAAAGCAAAAACACTAAAAACTAATTTAACGAAACAAACCAAATACAACTAACAAAAATGAATTTAAACAATATTTATGGAAAAATGCACAGAAAACCAAGTAGCCTAAAGTAAATGTACTGGAAGCAAACCAAACAAAGGGACTGGTTAAAACGAACCCAGCGATCGCAGAATCACATGAACGCTGGAGAGCAGACGTCACACAAACACATGAACCAGCGCACACGCTTTTTCTTTTTTATTATTGAACACCAAGAACAGAACAAAAAAATAATATACATCTACAATGGCATTGGTAAATACAGGTAAATGAGTATTAAGCAAGGCCCATATCAGTTACAGTAAAATAAAATAATAATAACAAATAAAAATAAATAAATAAATATATTAATATAAAATAAAAATACAAAGGGGTCTCTTTATTCCTCTTTTAAGAGCTCAAGGTCTCTTATTATTCCAGCCAATTTCTGGGCCTTTTTACTTTTCATACATTCCAACGCTGGAAAGAAATTAGAAATCAAGTCTCTTTTAAATACAGAAAAATAAGGTTTCGTCTTCATACATTTGGACTTATGAATGAAAAATTTGCCCAGTATCAACATTACATTAATAAGAAATTCACTTCTTTTCTCGTCCAACAGCATTCCAAACATATGTTTAGCAAAAGTAGGCAGTGAGTGAATCTTTGATTCCAACCAATAAGACATATTTTCCCAAAAAGTATTTTGAAAGAAAGATAACAAAAGAAAAAAAAAAGATGATCAGTTGTCTCTGTCAACTTGACAAAAAGTACAGGCATTTTCTTCAAAGTTAAACCGTTGTCTTAAAAATTCACTTGACGGGTATAGGCTACCCCATTGAATATTTTAAAAATTAGTTTCCTTAGCTTTAGGAGCCACTGGAAAGCTAATATACTGTGTTCGCACTTTTTTAATAGTTTGTTTATCATAAGATTGCAAAACAAATTAAAACGTGCATTCGTCTTAATATTAAACCCTATAATATAAATCGCAGCTGTTTGTCACCAATGTCAATCAAACATCAAAAAAGAAAGAGAAAATGACTTTTGCTGTTTTAAAGGTACACTGTGTAGTTTAAGTACTTTATTAGCTAAAATCAATGTCTTTATTCATTGGTGTGGAATGACCTCTGCCAATTATCTGACTTATCCTCGTAAGCGAAGAATTTCTTATCTTTATTTACATGGGACGGGTAAGTCCATGGAGGATTCCATGTGGTTCAGCCATCTTGAAAAACTATAATAGCAGAGAGGGACAAAAAGCACTAACGTTAGCCTACCTAAACGCATAACCAGCGCATTTTCGTTCAGAGCCAGGGTCACGTGACTGAAACCAGCTGAGCTCTCCAATAGTATCGTGATAGGCGCTTGTCACTGACCCGGCAAATTTGAAAGGCTGCACTGCACGATACTTTATAATGCAGGACCATGGGTATGCCGAGCCACAGGAGAAGGAATCCTTGTCGCCAAAAATTTAACGTAAAAGGAAATGTGACTGGCAGGTGTTAATGTCGGGATAGCTTTTTCCAGGTGGAAAGAGCTAAAGAAGGAGAAACACTACGAAAGGGACGCTGAAGTTGCCTGCTCTCTTCTCGACAGGTAAGTCAATGTTACGGTCTAAATTACAAGCTTTTTTTCATTGCTTGGTTGTGTACTTTATAGGGCTGCCCCCAAATAGTCGACTAAATGTTAGTCGATATGAGAAGGGCTTGGTCGAATACATTTTTATTAGTCAGTTAGTCGCAAAAAAAATCACGTGAAAATATTACGCAATCAGGGGCTGCGCAGTCAGTGTATGACATGACATCAAAGCAACGAGAGATCAACGAGATCTCGTGCCTCGCGGTATACCAAAGCGCACTTGTGGGAAAATGTACTTGGCAGATAAAACAAAGGTTGATTCAGGACCATTGGCAGGGTGGCAAAAAAAATTAACATCGATATCCAAAGCTCGCTAAAGCAGCTAAACGCCTCCACTGTATCCCTTCCACATCCACTCCATCAGAGCGCATCTTTTCAAAGGCCGGCTTCATTGTGAACAAGTCGAGAAGCTCCCTTCTTCCCAACAATGTGGACAAGCTGGTGTTCCTCTTACATAATATGAAAAAAAAAAAAAATCGAATTGAAAGCTAAGAATGCTTAATTTCCTTTTGTAGTGTTTCTGTTTGCTATCCGTTAAGCTATATATAAAAAAAAAACAGGTATTTTTATAATATATAAAATAATTGGCTAAAATAAAATATGGCTATACAAATAAATAAATATTATTTTTATTCATTCGTTTTTATATAATGCAGAAGTTGTTTTTTATTCCGTAAGAAAAATTAGTCTGATGTTTGCAATTTGTTGTTTCAGGTCAAGACTCATCCGTCATCTTAATGGCAGTTTGCGGCTTTGCTCTGATATTTTTTATTTGTATTAGTGTTCTTTAAATTAGCCTATTTGTTCCACATTTTGTCTTAAATATAGCCTAGTTATTCTAAACAATTTACTCAAATACTTAGGCTGTTGATTTGTTTGCCGCCTTCTTTTTTATTCTAAGTTTTGGCGTTGTGCGATGTGCATTTATTAAATGGTTAGTTTTTGTTAATTTTCCTTTTGAACAATATAAAAATTATATTAATTTATTTTTCCACTGTATTTTTATACCAAACAGCGTTTTTGCTACAGTATATATTTGTTGTTGTTTTTTTGCCTTGTTTTGTACTAGGACTAAGTTACTAATACGTTTATTTAATTTATTTTAAAGAACGAATTTTATTTTATTCAAAACTGTTTATTTTTTTGGACATGTAACAGTTTGTATTTTTGATAATAAATTATTAAAATGCACAGGCAGTCTGATTGCTGTTTTTATGTTATAATTAGCCTATAACGTGTCGTAAGCGCTGTATACTTCAAACTAGGGCTGGGTTTCGATTCAAATTTCAAGAATCGATTCGATTCCGATTCTCAAGATCTTGAATCGATTATCATTATTCGATTTGATTCGATCTGATCCGATCTTTGAGATTTAGATAAGTGTTTTTGAAAAAAGCATTTTTTTTTTTTTCAGGTGTTACTTGAATTACACGACTGTAGTTATGCAACATATTAATACTATTATTATAGACATTCAACTGCAAATTAATGGAGTATTGATGGTTGTAAAGAGCAATCCCCCTTCCAGAGTGTTGATACAACTGCTTTCACAAACTTGCACTGGTGTAGACGACAGAGGACGCAGAGGTATATCAGCAGCAGAGGGCTGTCGCGATTACCGCAATCTTGTAGTACCGCGCTACTGACAAGTCAACCGCAGAGGATTGCAAGTAACCGCAGCAACCGCGATATTCACGTTTTTTTATAAGGCTATACCCTTCTTGTTTTGAACTTCATGCATGTGTATTGAATGTTAAACAAGTTCATAATGATAACAAACAAGACAGTTTATCATGGTGATGTGTAGCCTACAGAGGCTTCGCACAGACAGTGAATGAGAGAGATCGGCAGAGCGCGTGCGATTACCTGCGTCTGTCTTTGAAGTCATATGTATTCGTGAAAAAAGTTTGCCGAGTCAAAGGAAAGCGAAATATTTGCCGTATCATCCTTTTAACGTTCACGTCACGGGTATTTACCATAAATGCGCGTCAGGAGCAGCGCTGGTCAGCATTCCACAGCGCGAGGAAGCCGCGGGGAAATAAAATCAGCGAGTCACGCATTGAATCAATAGGCTATTGGTCTCTAATAAGTGAAGCATCAGCTTCAGAGTTACCCATGCGACGCATTGCTGCTCAGCTGAGCCTTGAGAAGTGGAACTCAAAGTTAAAAATAATTAACACCTTGTTTCATTACATCTCTTTTAATGAATCAGCTTTTTTGAACGTGTTCGTTGAATGAACGGTTTAATGACTCACTCAAAGCCCGTTGTCGTAACAATGTGCGCGCTGAGTGAAAGCCTTTCGATGCGCTTATCAGCGATCTCCAGTCGCGGCAAGTTAAAGTTCACGGGGAAAATGTAAGCCTATTATTAAATCGATCCTCTGAGTTATGGATCGATCTTTAGAAATTAATATGAAAATCGATTCAGAATTGGTGAATCGATTTTTTCAACACAGCCCTACTTTAAACGCTTTACTATTCTGTTTTAAGCGCTTATTTTTCATTTTGAATGCGCTAATATCGTGCTTTAGCATTTTCTGTCATATGGAAGTGTTAAACTTCAACTTGGACTATACCTTTCCTTGTATATACGCAAGTTTTATATTAATATCATAAATGAACGATTATTCGACTAATAGCTAAAATGCAGGAGTGTTAGTCGACTAGGAATATTTTTAGTCGGGGGCAGCCCTACTTTATTATATAGGCAACATAATAGAACATGTATAGTTAAAAGCTAAACAGGCTCTTTGATGAATAGCATCACAGGCTATGTTTGATGGTTGCATTTCATGCCTACATGTTGTCATAGCTTTTTGGTACATAACGGCTACCGTAGTTGCAACACGGATTTGAAAAATCGAGGCGCTAGAGAGCACTATTCGTTTGAATGCAAAATACAATTTCACCGCTAGATGGGAGAAATTCCTACACGGTGTACCTTTAACAAAGATAATTAAATTAATTATATTTCATTTATACAGTGAAGACTATATACAGTGTTATTTTACATTTGATTATTCAATGTGACTGTACCTGAATACAGTTAGATTTACCTGGGTAAAAAAGATATTTATATCTTTGTTCTATTGTATTTATCTATGCTTGTAATTTTTTACTTTCTATGCAGATTTACTTCATTACAAAATCATCCCAGTCATTCTAGAATGAATCATTCTTTCCAAATAGAGATTCAAGTCATCTGGTGAAATTGTTTTCATATCGCAGAAAAATAAAATAACGCAAAGTCATTTTTTCCTAATATCGTGCAGCCCTAGAGACAATAAACACACACACACACACACACACACACACACACACACACACACAGAGAGAGAGATTCAGTCTTTCTGCTGAAGGATGTATGAGAAAAGAAACATTAATTAACGTCCTCCCTCTGCTATTCATAATACACAGGTCACAGATATGGCTATAAACATACATTAACATCAAAATTAAAGCTAAACACATTTAAACGAGATTTCTACAGACTTAATCCACCAAAATGATATGTGGAGTTTTTTTTTTTTTTTTTTGCGCTTTAAACAAACACAACGACAATGCAACTCGTAATCCGAAAACAGGCATAAGTTTAGGGCAGCAAACTTACATAAATCAGTCCACAATAGAAAACAGGACAGGCAGCAAAGAATCACGAAGAGAATAAACAGTCCAAGAGTAATCCACGGGAAGACAAAACCACAGGAAGAAACGCTCAGAGATGTTCACCAGATCAACACAAAACTTCCCAATGAGGATCTTCTTCTTCATCTGTGTTTTTTTTGGCAGTTTGCAAACAAAGTGCATTACCGCCATCTTCTGGATTGAGGTGTGAACTCATCAGGATATCATTTTAAACATGTTACTAAACAAAAAAAAAAAAAAAAAAAAAAAATAATCAAACCTATATGCTTTGTTTCTTTCATAATGTTCATAACATCCTTAATTATAGATTGCGTGCCAGGCAAACTCAATAGGTTTTTAAACTCAATCCATTTTCCCTCTCTAGTTATTTTCCTTTTTCAGAGTACTTTCTACTCATCAAGAGTATATGTTTTACATTTCCCACTTCTCCACAATGAATGCATAATCCAGTCCGGTGTTTTCCTATTAACTTTCGGCAGTTTATTAAAAACCCTCATGTGGTGTTCGGGTCAATTTGACCCGGAGAAGATTTTCTTTTTCCCGAAAATACTAGTTAATGTTATCGCTTTGGACTGAAGCTTAGTGACTTTGTTCCCAAACGGTTTAACTAAATCTCAGGGTTTTTTTGAAAATTTTCTTATTTTTTTGTGGGAGTTTTGTTACATTGTTACACTTGTGGTGTTCCCGGTCAAAAATGACCGGCCTATAGAAAATAGCTTATAAGTCACTCATTATACCATATTTTCACCCAATCTTGGATTCAATCTTTTTGTGAACTTGTTCTCTTTCAATTAGGACTGGTTTTATATTTCTGTTTGCATCTGATTAATCGGGGGCCTCATTTATCTGAAAGTAGGCATCTCATTTTTTGAGTAAAAAACAAGTAATTTATGAGTAAATTTGGAAATATGAAAAAAAAAAAATGAAAAAAATGGCTACTGTTGATCACACTAGTCTACTCTAATGTTTCACCAGGAATTTTGTTTTGAAACTTTTGTTTTGTAAAAAATATGGCACATAGTCACACTTGTGGTGTTCCCGGTCAAAAATGACCGGCCTATAAAAAATAGCTTATAAATAACTCATTATACCATATTTTCACCCAATCTTGGATTCTATCTTTTTGTCAACTTGTTCTCTTTCAATTAGGACTGGTTTTATATTTCTGTTTGCATCTGATTAATCGTGGGCCTCATTTATCTGAGAGTGAGCATCTAATTTTTTTAGTAAAAAACAACTAATTTATGAGTAAATTTGGAAATATGAAAAAAAAATATGAAAAAAATGGCTACTGTTAATCACACTAGTCTACTCTAATGTTTCACCGGGAATTTTGTTTTGAAACTTTTGTTTTGTAAAAAATATGGCACATAGTCACACTTGAGATGTTCCCGGTCAAAAATGACCGGCCTATAAAAAATAGCTTATAAATCACTTATAATACCATATTTTCACCCAATCTTGGATTCAATCTTTTTGTCAACTTGTTCTCTTTCAATTAGGACTGGTTTTATATTTCTGTTTGCATCTGATTAATCGTGGGCCTCATTTATCTGAGAGTAGGCATGGTCAAAAATGGTCACAATGGCCGACCATTGAAAGTGAATGGGAGAGACTGAAAATAACAGAACAATTTAGTTTTCAGGAGCATGTTCATTATTTTCATGTACACATATGAGCATGTGTGCTTGCAAACATCGAGCCTTTGGACCTGTGCATGTATCGATACATTTATACACACGCTACCCAGACACACACGTTAAAACACACAAACTTTTTTGAGTATTACACACATTCTTTTCCACAGAGAGAAATGTGATTCTACCCTAACCTGCATCTAATATACATTTATCCATCTGACATTACCACACACACACACACACACACACACACACACACACACACACACGCACACGCACACACACACACACACACACACACACACGCACACACACGCACACACACAAACTGGCCGTGACTGCAGTGACCCGGCTTCAAAAGAATCTTTCTTTCATGGTCTTGTTTCATCACAGCTTCCAGACAAAATATTATGACATTTTGTTTTGGAACTGTGAGGTTCTCACACAGAACTAGACAATATTTACAAATATACATCATGTGATAGCACAGGCATATATAAAATGCCTCACAGCACCTTGCTTGTCATTCATTTGTGGCAGCACAATGGCAAAACAGCTCTGCACATGATGTTATTCATCAGATTTTTGACTCAGAAACTAGTGAGGAGGAGGAAATGCAGGATGCATCTTGCAGTGAAGATGTTTCTGAAGAGGAAGGCCTTTAGAAGAAAACCTGCCTTGCCTCATAGGTGGGGATGAAGGCCAGGACAAAGTTCCATCTTTTGACCAGAATGAAACAACCTCAGCTGGGCCCTCATCACTGGAAGACTGCTCCTCATCAGTTGTTTCAAGCTCCGTAGCCGATTCAGTGGTGCCTTCCTCTTCAGAAACATCTTCACTGCAAGATGCATCCTGAATTTCCTCCTCCTCACTAGTTTCTGAGTCAAAAATCTGATCACGGCCTGTGTGTGTGTGTGTGTGTGGTAATGTCAGATGGATAAATGTATATTAGATGCAGGTTAGGGTAGGATCAAATTTCTCTCTGTGGAAAAGAATGTGTGTAATATTTAAAAAAGTTTGTGTGTTTTAACGTGTGTGTGTGTCTGGATAGCGTGTGTATAAATGTATCGATACATGCACAGGTCCAAGGGCTCGATGTTTGCAAGCACACATGCTCATATGTGTACATGAAAATAATGAACATGCTCCTGAAAACTAAATTGTTCTGTTATTTTCAGTCTCTCCCATTCACTTTCAATGGTCGGCCATTGTGACCATTTTTGACCATGCCTACTCTCAGATAAATGAGGCCCATGATTAATCAGATGCAAACAGAAATATAAAACCAGTCCTAATTGAAAGAGAACAAGTTGACAAAAAGATTGAATCCAAGATTGGGTGAAAATAAGGTATAATGAGTGACTTATAAGCTATTTTTCATAGGCCGGTCATTTTTGACCGGGAACACCACAAGTGTGACTATGAGCCATATTTTTTACAAAACAAAAGTTTCAAAACAAAATTCCTGGTGAAACATTAGAGTAGACTAGTGTGATCAACAGTAGCCATTTTTTTCATTTTTTTTTTCATATTTCCAAATTTACTCATAAATTAAAGCTGCTAGCAGCATTTAGCGGTGTTCAAGCAGTTAAGGCCTTTAAGGCCGTTAAGCACAAAAGCATCAAAAGACATTAAGTTTTATGTAGCAAGCATTTAACCATTGACATCATAGATGGAATAGACCATGTTTTAGCATGATTTACCATGATATACCAAATTTAGTGTGATTTTTCATGATCTACCATGTTCCAGTATGATTTATCATGAATCTAGCATGATTTACCACAGTTTACCATCATTTACCATGTTATAGGATGATTTACCATGATATACCACATTCTAGAATGATTTACCAGGATTGTAGCATGATTTACCATGATTCATCACATTGCTAGCATGATTTGCCATGATCCACCATGTAATAGTATTTTTTACTATGATTTACCATGTTTCTATCGTGATTTACCATGATTTACCACATTGCTGCATTGATGTGAAGGGCCAATAAAAATGAAGTGATAAACTCTGACAAAAAATGATTGTGTTATAATAGTTAACATGGAAAAACTGGTTTGCTTTAGTGCTGTGATTTACTGGTGAAAATCAAGTGTGTCAAAATGAAAGTGAGCCAATAAGTGGTCTTCTACTGCCCTCTGCTGGCCACTGTACTTATTAATAAAGTGTTTTCACAAGTGCTTTTGCATTCATATGTAGACATATGCTTACACACACACACACACACACACACACACACATGGGATATGTTATTGTGAAAATCTCTTTTAATGGTGTATAAGCATGCATTTCACATATTTCTTTGTGATGTAATAATATAAAACTATATTAAAACTAATAAAAAAATTGCTTTAAGCGTTTGTTTGTTAGCCAATGCTGAAAGCTGATAAAAAAGATTAAAAATGTCGGTAACACTTTACAATAAGGTTCATTTATTAAACATTAGTTAATGTATTAATTAACATGAACTAACCATGAGCAATACATTTGTTCCTGTTTTTGTTCATCTTTGTTAACACTAGAATGGCCACGATGGTCATTTTGACCGTTTTGAATTTTATATCTGCAATAACTTTGTTGAAAAAAAAAAAAATCTCCTGCTGGTACCTGACTTTTCCTAAAAGTGTCTGTATTTTCATTTAAAATGTTTTTAATATAAATTACACATAAGGCAAACAAACAAATGAACATATTTACCTATTTCGGCCATAGACGGTCATATTGACCGCACTGAATTTCGCGGTATTCTTTTGTTACATTTCTCGCGGTTGACCTTTGTCTATTAGGAAATAATCAGAAGATTCAATTGCAAAATGACAGATATGTTTATTGAGAGCTGGTCAGATGCTGGGAGAGTTAAGGTGTGCAAATGTCCGGTATGAAGCCCTTGGCAGCACAGGGACGCTGGAGTGAGTGCTGAACCAGGAGTGTTGAACACGGGATGACACACGGAAAACGTATACAGGCAGGGAACAAACACGCAGGAAAAATCCACAACGATCTGACAAAGGGCCTTTCTCAATCTGTGTTCTTGTCTGTACTTGTGTCCTTGTGTTCTTGTGAAACGTCATCTTTTGTGGCCCAAGTACTGTCCCAATACACAAGTTTGCATTTTGGCAAGAACAGTTAAAAATCCCGGATGTGTTCTTGACACGCCCATTTTACCAAGGATGCATCGGTTGGTAACTTGTGTTGACTTGACGGCAGAAATATCCCAGCATTCAATTCGGCATTCGAGGAAGGAGAGGCAGGTCAATACAGTATTTCGTTTTTCTACAATTACGTACACTATTTCATCACTAAATTCACTTCTGAGAACATTTGATGCGAGAAATCAACTGTGTAGATTTCAAATATTGGCATTTTTACGAAAATGTATGGCTAATCGAAAATGTGCTCAAACGTTTTCGGAAGTGAGAATCTCCATAAGCGCCTGCGGGTGTAACGTTAGCTATCGAGCCAACCGGCCAGTTTGCTCACAGACTCGTTTTTCCCCACAGCCAAGAGACCATTGCAGCCTGGCTGTTATCGTCAA